TCGGGCAGGTCTGGAGTTGCGAAAACGATTGCCGTCTCGCTAATGGACGTTTGTCTTTATTGAAAATAAACCTAAGCTGAAAGCTATGCTGTGGATACTATACCTAGGAGTGCCAAATAAGCTGTAAACTTCGAGGAGTTTTTTATATTTTTTCGATTCCCTCATGGGCCACTCCGCTGTTATTGAGAAGCTCGGCTTCATCACTAGCTTTATGGATTATTGCATTTGCTAGCTGCCGCCAAATAGATCCCACTTCACTATAGTAATCCCTTTGTGAGAGAAACGAAGAGGACAAAGCCACTGGATGAAAGAGGCACTCAACATCTCACGGAGGGATCGAAGTTTGATGGAAATATCGGCGAGGAAGTCTTTTCTCAAGTATTATGCTACCGTAGGGGCTTAGGTTTTCATAATATTACAATGTTTTTTAAGCGGATTTGCTGCTATGAAGGAAGCGTTAAGCATACTGTTTCGAAGTTAAGATGCAATGAGGCGGGCTGGCAATTTAATTGGGAAGCCAATTGCCCTTTACGGCCTAGGGTCACCCATCGTAGGTCCAAAATAGTGAATAGAATGATTAATATAACTATGTGTGTGCGCTGCGCCACTTATATCAGAATTAAAATCGATTGTATACCGGTATACAGCGGAATTGCTGGGAACTGCAATACCGGACAGCGTGAATGTATACCCTCCTCTCACAATATGCGGTCAGCTTCCGGACATATCAGCTGGCGCGCTCAAAGTTTGTGGTTGAGGCCACGTTAGACCCTCCCAGTGGCCCAGTTTTCAACCACTTTTTGCATCAATTGAGCAATTGGTGCCATGTGTCAATAATAACGTGCTGAATATTTTCTTTCAAGATGTCAATCGACTCGGGATCATCTGCTTAGACGAGGAACTTCATATAACCTCACAAAAATTAGTTCAGCGTAGTTGAATCGCACGATCTGGAGGCCCCGCCTCAGGAGCACGAATAACATGTCGTCTACATCGACGGAACGAAGAAGTCATTAATCATGGCTCTATAATGTTTCCCATTATTGTAATAATATGGCTGGTCTTATTAAAAAAAAAATATCGACCAATGAATACATCTAAATATAGAGCACACTAAGCTATGATTTTTGAGGAAGTAATGGCGTCGCTACAATGGCTTGTTTATTTACCTACCCAATCATGAGCTTTATCGCTGAACAAAGTTTTTTTGTGAAAATCGGCATTTGTGATAATTCGGCTTCAATTCTTGCAACCCAAAATCTTCTGTAGAGCGAATGGCGCACAATAGTGGATGGACGCATTTTGGGTATTGCCTCATTGAAAACCACACGTCAAAAAGCTACCTTTAACTTAGCGATATTCTTCTTGGTTTTCCGCCATTTGTCTGAAGTAAAAGGAAATATAATTCAAAACTTATGCCAATCATCGTAATTTAAGGTAAAAAACTTTTAGCAAAAATTAAAAAAAAAATGCCAAAAAACCCTAGAAATTACCAGCATAGTATTAAAAACCGCCTTGAGCCACTCAACAAACCACCAAAAACAACCTTAAGCAATAAACTCATCCTGGCACGCGTACAAGTATTAATGGGCAGGCGGCCATAAACAAGAATCTGTGGCGCAGCAAAGTGGCAGGGAAAAAATCTGTTACACTCAACAAAGCCGAACGAACATCCAACACATTGCAAGCTGCCGCAGGTGATGCATGTGCGTGGGAAACAGCTACGGCGCATGTATGGCTGGAAGATGAAGGAGTGAAGGCTAGCAGAGAAGAGGGAGAGAGAAGGGAGCAGTGCCTGCGGTTGAGGTGAGAAAAAATGCAGGGCAGTCGTGAAAAAAGTGCAGAGTGAAGGAGCGTAAGAAGGCTGTAAATGTGGCAGCATTTGTTGCTAAAACTGTAAATCGAAAGCAGCAAAAAAGCATAAACAGAAAATCACTTGCATTATGCTTCCTGCCTTTCAAGCCTTTCATGCCACCGTTGTGGGCACTTTCATGTGCATGGTAAATATGTATGTGCGCAACTATGTGTGTATGTATTGTATGTATGTGCGATGATTTTCGAAAATGCATTAACCACAACGGAAGAAAGCATGTTGAAGGTTGTTTTGTTTTGTACTTGGCTCGCTACTTCAAGTTGAAATATGCCACCCACATGCCAGCTGTTTGTACTTGATTATATCCCTCTCTTTCTCGCTGCCTCGCCACAGGCTCATAAAGAACACAATGCAATGCAACTGTGCTTTATGCTTAGTTGTGCTTGTTTTTGTTATTTTCTCGATTTTATGTGCTTATGTTGTTGCCATTAACAGTAGAGTGTAAAGTTAGTACAAGGCGGGAGGGGTTTGGAAGAAAATAAAAAATATCTCTGCCATAAAGCAGGATTATTTGGGTATCGTAGCCTATTGACAGTCGCAGTGGCATACAAATTTTATACACTTGTATATCTATGCACATGCAATGCCAACCAACAACATTTGCTGAATATTCACTAAAGGGTGCATTAAAGCTCATACTTTCACCCTCGAAACGCATTAGTCGATCACTCAAGACGATAATTACTGTCGAATGCAGCTGTGTGGGTGCTCTTTACAGAATTAATGTGCAGTTGCGTGTGTTTGTATTTATGTCAGCGCACAATTTTAAGTTTTTAATAGCTGTTGAAAGTGAAAAAAAAATCAATATATTGCCGAGTCGTTAAATGGGGTGTTGCATACTTTTAGGGGCTAGCGCTTAGAGGTTGATTTAAGCTGTTACCAAGGCTTACGGTAAGAAGATATCAACTTCTGGTAGAGTTTTAAATAATTTAGCAAGAAAATTGGTGACTGAATAATTGCTCTTTACATATAAAGACATCATAAAGCTTATAACAAATATTTTTCAAAATATTTTCTTTTATTTTAACTACTATATTTTATTTCTCTCATGCATGACCATTAAAATATTATTTGTTAAAGCAGAACAAAAACTTATTTTACAAAAAAGAGCCCAATAAATTCATAAAGTGGTTTCTGGTGTAATTTTAGACAATATAAATTACAAGAAGAAGATAATACTTGCCCTTTGAGGACTAGAAAATCACCAGAGTCACTGTTGAGGCGGGAATTAAATCACTTTACTTTCACTTGGTTTAAGTATAACTGACTCCACAATCTGTAGAGCGTTTATTTATATAAATTTGTAATGTGAAAATTTACATGCATGCATATGTGTACATAAGTATGTTTACATTAGAAGATTACCCACGAATAGATAATCTTATCTTATGTTTTAATTTTTATTGCTTTACATATTCATGATAAGAACATCAGTATACATAGATGCTTATGTTGTTGTAAAGGCATCAAGTATCAATATTCATATCATGAGTATGTGTATATGGACATCTGTTTGTACTTTAATTTTTATTGCCTGGCCTATAAATGTCATACAGCATATGAATTTATGGCCATACATTTTAATTGCTGGCTTATCGTTTCGGAAAACTAAACAGTCACTTTATAAAAAGTCAATTTTTTTTTGCAAGACAATATTCTAACTAAAAGGTTGTATAAATAGAAATTCTGGAATTTCTAAAACTCATTTTTTTATGTGTAAAAAAGTTTGGTATGCTAAAAATATTTGCCAAAATATTTAAAAAAAATACGCGTAAAAAATGTTAGAATTAAAAAAATTTTCAAGACATATTATGTTTCTTTCAAAAAAAAAAAAATATTAAAAAATTTATTAAAATACTTTTCGAGAAAAAAGTACTTCAAACTTTAAAAGGAAAAAATTACTTTTAAAATATAATTCGTAAATTTTTTAAATTCAGAACTAAAAGCGAAAATTGAAAAATTTTGCCTTCCACCAAAAAATAATTTTAATAAATATTAGATTATTAAGCAATGATATTAAAAAATAAAATGAAAAAAGTAATGAACATACAAAAAAAAATTAATTTCAGAGTTGAGAATTGCGAAGGAAAACTTAATTTTATGATTTTTCATGAAAAGTTAGTAAATTTTATTCTTTTTCGCAATACAAACAATTAAATTCAAATCACCAAACAATTCTATTCAGTGAAAATTATTGTAGTATTAAAAAAATATTACATTTATGATAAATTTTGAAAAATATGCTTTTTCTTGTATTTTTTTTTTATTAAAATTTTTTAGTTAGCATTAATTTGAGGTTGAATAAAACAAGTTTTAGAAGCTCGCAAGAATTCCAACATGGTTTTTTAAATATTTCTGTCTTTTTTAATGAAATTAATAGCAATCAAATGTTTTGACTATCAGTTGAAATGAATTCAAGCTTTGATTGAAATTTTTTTATGAATATTCCTTGAAATATGAAAATCTTTTAATGAATTTCCCAATTGAAAAACAGTATTTTTTGTTGGAAAAAAATTATTTTTGAAATTCTTGAAATATTCTAAAGAAAATTCAACTAAAAAAATATTGAAAAAAAATAATTTATGAATCTTCTAAGAAAGACTCGATTTTCACATATTTTTTACGTTAAAAACAACTAAATTCAAATCTTGAGAAAAAAAATTTTTAGAAACTGGTTTTATTATTTCTATAGATTTTTTAATTAAAATTAATAGTAATCAAACTATAAAAATTGTGCTGAAGCGAATTTAAATTTGGGAGAACATCAGGCTTATAATAATAATTAAAAATAATGTCAAATTCAATTTTAATTTTTTTATTTAATTTACAGGATTAGAAAAAATTAAAACCATTTATACTACGAAATCGGCTTTTCCTTGATTTTTTAATTTAGAGCTTATGAAAAATGCATTATTTAAATATTTCACAAAAAATTTAAGCTCATTCATTAAAAACTTTAAATATTTATATTAATTTTTTTCTAATATTTTTTCAACATATATCTCAACCCACGGTTTCTCCTTAACTCAGCCATTTGCAATATCTCTCTGCTCTGCTTCTTGTGTTTTTTTTTATTCCGACTTTTTCAACTTTTCCCACGAATCACCTGCAACTGGCGTCACAACACATGGTTCGAGCGGATCTCAATACTGGTGATACTCTTCAATTGCGTAACGCTGGGCATGTACCAACCGTGTGAGGATGATGAATGCAAGCAGACGCGCTGTCGTGTATTACAGGTGAGTGAAATGGCAGGAAGGAGAATAAGAAGAATGCTACATATTTTACAATTTACATATATTATTTAAGATTAATTTATATATTCGATAATAAAAAATAAATGTAATACTAAACTAGCGCAATTTAACTTAGAAAAAACGTCGTATTCATGCATGTATGTATGTTACAACAACAAATCGTAATAATATTTACTCGACACATTATTTTGATTATTGAAATTAATTGAAAAATACCATAAATAATGCGACACATTTGTGAAATTAATTGCAGAAAATTATATTTATTATCAAACATCAAGTATGCTAGCAAATATATGTATTCAAAGGTGTGTGTGTGTGTGTGTGTGTGTGCCGGTCTGCGTTTCGCTTATATTGAAATAATCAATGGTCAATTTAATTGAAATATTTTCAAAGGTTTGCTTAATGCATACATTTTCATTGAATTATTGTATGCATAAACGGAAAAACAACAAATTTTACAAACCCACACACACACATATATCGTACAGAGAAGCAGACAATTTGCTCTATCTCATTCTCTTCATATGGGTTTCGTATGAAATTTTATGCAAATTGCACATAGAAATGCAGCTGACAAACGCACAAGCGTGAACTTATATACAACTACTAATATATAGTAGTATATTTATATAATACATATGCATATGAGTATATTTGTTTGTAATATATAATTGAAATGTGCATTGAAACGCTTTGAAAATTGCTAAAATGTTTGATGATGCACATATGCATATCTGTATACACATATAATTACATACGAGTACACAAATGTATGTGTGTATACATAAGTAATTGCAATTGATGTTGATTATTTGGCTTGCATTGCAAATTAAATAATACTCATACGCCATGTGGTCAGTTATTATTATTATTTATTGAACTTGTTGCGTTCGAAATCTTTCACACACACATACACACAAACAAACAAATGCATAAATACATACATAGCGGAGAGAACGAGCTAACGGATGGCACAAGATGCAGGAAATTGCATATTAAAGCTTTTTGGCAATTCGGTCAATTGAAAAGATAAAATATTATATTTTGAATTATTGAATACGGAACTTTTAATTTGCAGGAAAAGTATATATAAATAAGTTTATGGTTAAAATAAGGCTCTTTTCAATGAAAAACTTTTATAGCTGAAAAAAAAATATGAAGTGTATAAAATTAAAAAATTATTAATTTCCAAAAAAAATTATAATAAACTATGTAAATTTTTAAAATACCAGAAATTAACTTTTCTCATTTAATATTCCATTTCCTTCCAAATTCTGAGCTCAGCAATTTTAAAGTAAATAAATAATTAAAGGCGAAATAAATATAAAAAAATTAATTACAATTAAATAAATTATATTAAAAAAAAGTTAAATAAAATAACATCTAATAAAAAATAAAATAAAATAAAATAAAAAAATATATAAGTAAAATTAAAAATAAATAAATAACAGTGAAATACATAATATAAAAAAAGTAAAATAAAAATAACAAAGTAAAAAAAATTAAATTACATTAATTTAAGTTACTTATACTAGTTTGGGTTAAACAAAATCAGAAAGTAAATAATAGATAAATATATTTAATAACAAAATAAATTGAAACGAAATTAATTTAAGAAAAGAAAAATAAGTTTTATTGAATTAGACTAAACCAAATATAATAATATAAAGAATATGAAGAAAAATGCAACAATAAAATATAATTTGATAAAATATTAGGTTGTCAAATATGATTGTTTAGATATTGCGTTCAACAGTTATAGACGTGTAAACATGGAGTTCACTAACGCCAAAATTCGCGCTACTTTAAAGTTTTCCTTCGTTAAAGGCAAATCCGCTAGAGAAACGTTCCGTGAGATTAATAGTGTTTTGGGGGACGGTACTCTATCACTTCGAACCGCGGAGGAANATAATAAAGCATAGAAAATAGAAGTTAAATATAATAAAATAAAAAATAAAAAATTATTTTATCAAACATAAAACGCTTAAAAAAATTAAATTCTTCTTCTTCTTAATATAGGGCGCCATTCATCCCTTTTTTATAGAATAAAAAAAAAATTTTATAGAATAAAACCAAATGAAACTATATTTAAATAATTAAGAGAAAATAAAATAATTTAAAATGAAATTAAAACAATTAAATAAAAATAAAATAAGCGTGGAAAATAAATTTTAAAAGTTATAAAACAAATAAAAAACAAATCAATTTAAAAAAATCAAATAAAAAAAAATGTAAATAAAAAATATTAGATTAATTAATATATAGTGGAATTGTGAAAAAAAAAACATCTATTGCATCTCTTTGGCAACAAAACAAATAATTTATTTTTGTACAGCTGGTTAATTATTCGCTACGCAAATTGTTTTTGGAATTCATCTTGAAAAGAAATCTCATAAAAAAAAGCCGCAGGCAAAGAAAGAAATCTTGCTGCAACAAAAACAACCGTAAAATTAATGATTATACGTCGGTAGTAGTTGGCTAAAAACATTTGCCCAGTATAGGTTTGCAAAGTAGATTAATACTAATAAGCACATATGAATATATATACTTACAACACATGTGTTTGTAAGTGGTATGACGCGGGTATATGTATAAGTATGTGGATGTGAATGACACTTACGCTTATCTTCTGCACGAAACAACACATAAAGCCATAAAGTACTTCAGCTCATTAAGCACAATAACTACTCGGGTGGGCAAACAAACGGAACCGTTAAAATGGATATGATAAATATCCTTTTGTTAAAAGGATAAAGGAAAAACTAGGCAGATTTATATGCCAACAAACTTACATAAAATGAACATAGCAAAGATATTGTGCATACAAAAGTGGTCACCAAATTGGTGAAATCTACAACTCGAATATATTTCTGAGGAGCTGATGGGTTATTACTATCATTGTTGTTACTATTTCATTATTTTACTTTGTAGTAAAAAAATGCTTTTTTAATATTTAACGATACTTCTTTTCTAAAATTAAATTTTGTATAGTGAATAAAATAAATAAAATTTAATTAAAAGCAATTAAATAATATAGAAAAAATAATTCTGCAAAATTTTGTATTCAAAGTATATTTTTTATTAAGTAAAAAAAATGTGCGAAAAATATATCTCCCCAAAGTTGCGTAGGTATGCGATTCATATTAAATAAAAAATTAAAAAAATATTTTAAAGCTAGCACATTATCAAAACTTATTTGAAATAAAAGCTTGCATTAATAGAAATTTCAAAACTTAGTCGTTAACAAAATTTACAAAGCAAAAAAAAAGTTTCAGAAACTATGTTTTCTTGCCTTAAAAAATCATTGAAATAAATCATTTCCAAAACCATTTAGAAAAGAAGTTTTTTATTTAATTTTTTTATTTATATATGTATTCTAAAAACCATGTTTTCAATGAGGAAATTTCGCTTAACAACAAAATTCTTGGTTTTTGCAAATTAAACATTTTCAAAACTAAAAATAACGATTTCAAATTTAGTAAAATATCAAAATAATAAAATGTTATTGTTTGAGAAAAATATTAAGTTAATAATTTTTTTAAATTTAAATTTGAATTTATTTTGAAAGGTTACAACAACCATTTATATAAATAATTATTTTAACCATGCAAATAGAAAACTAAATTAGTAGAAAAATTCAAAACTCTAAAAATTTAAAGCAAATTAAACCTTAAAATAATTTATTTAAAAAAAATTTAACTACTTTATATTATTTTAAATTTTAAAATATTTAATAATTAGTAAAAATTCTCAAAAGGTGAATAAAAAAATTAATTTCCACCAAAATTTCCAGCGCAAGTTCACAAACAAACAGCATCGCCATTACAATTATAACATAATTTAATGGTCCATTAGAAAACAAAAGATAAAAACAAGAAAACCAAAAACAAAGATAAGCCGAGAACAACAAGTTAGTTAGTACTTATCCAAACAAATAATACCGTTATAGCATTTTAAGTAAGTCAAAATGTAGATGTTTAGTAATTAGTGAAATAATATATGGATGCTTAGCACTATATTCTTAAGCTGAGAGTGGTGTGAGTGCGCACAGCAGCAGACCATAGATGATTATGCCCTCCGGCAGAAAGTATGTGGCCAGTCTATCTTTACTGTTGTGAAAAACAAATAACGAAATTTTTAGACATATGGCATGCACGCTGTCTATCAACCATTAAATTGACATGTGTCTGTGCCGCAGACAGCTGTTGCCTACATCAAGGCGCTGTTATGGTTTTAATGCCATGCGATACAAAACAAACAAAGCAAAAACTCATATTGTGGATGTGTGTAAAAAAAATATGAATATGAATAAAAAATGAAAAATAAGTTAAAATAAAACCTAAAAAAATTGTAAAAAAAAATGTAAAATATTAATCAAATAATAAAAAAAATTAAAACTTTTTTTTAGAATAAATTGTGTAAAAAGATAAACTAAAATTTAACCGGGGCATTATTTTCGCAAATTAAAGCTTGAAAAAGTCTCCAAAAGCCAGTTTCATATATTTAAGCCCTATGTTTTCTTTTCAAATTGTTTCCAAATTTTCTTTTTTAAACTGGTATGATGGTAGCCGGACTCAGTGTCAATGAATTCACTAACATATGTTGAAGAAAAAAACTAATTTTACGCAGGCAGATCACGTCAGGACGCAAATATAAGCAACCATTATACCCAAGGTAATTCCAACTAATTTTTTGGACTTTTTTTTTTTTGTTTTTTGTAATTTTAAATCTTCAACACACGTTAACTACCACTCATTCACCTCTCACAAAAAAAGCTTATTCTTGAAGACTGTCAACTACAGTGTCGCTCACTCAATTAGCCATTTTATTTGCTGTTTCTGCTTTGACACGACGACTACTATTTTTCCAAACATAAATTAGCTACTTTTTTTAGGTTGCTTCTTGCTTTTCAAACATATTTATTCAACACATCTACATAAATATCTTGAAATGACTAGAGATAAATGAGCAGCACTGCC